CACTGTAAATTGACTTCTCTGAAGAGCAGTAGAAGACAGGGTGGGAAGGGGCTTCACCCCAATCCTGCAGCTCTTTCTCCTCCTCAGCACACACACACACACACACACACACACACACACACACACACACACACACACAAAATATACTACATAGCCCAGGCTGGCCTTGAACTTGAACTTGTGGCAGCCTTCCTGCCTCCGCTGCCTGCACACACACACACACACACACACACACACACACACACCCCTTCCCCAACTCCTGCTCTGCCTTCATGGGCAAAAATAGATTTCTACAGAGAGGGACCAATCTCAGAGGTGGAGTGGGTGCTGAGCACCCTCTGTGGCCTAGGGACTGGAGTAGAAGGTAGACAGTCCAGGCAGAGGTGAGGCGTGGCAAAGGAGGATGTTTAAGAGCCCCAGAGGTGTCAGGTCTCTCCCCCCAGTCACCAGACAGTTCCCGAGATACCACTAACTTTCTTGGGAATACCCCTCTGATTCCCGGGCAACAGGAACTCTCCTTGTTTCTATTTTTTGTGTGTGTATCTTTTTGAGACAGGGTCTTTCTTGTAGCCCCAGCTGGTCTGAAACTCAGTATATAGACCAGGCTAGCCTTGAACTCACAGAAATCGCCTGCCTCTGCCTCTGCTAGGACTAAAGGTGTGTGCCACCACGCCGGGCTAGGAACTCTCTCTTGAAGGAGAGATTTAGAGCAAAAGAAAAAAGGTGATTCTCTACCACCTGCCTACACCGGGAACAGTGAGACCTAGAAGACTTCCACTTCTGTCTGTTCTCCCCAGCAGGGGCTTTGTAGGGCTTCTAGGTTACCCTAGGCTCTGAGGACTAGGCAAAAAGGCCACTTGGTATTACCTTCCCTTCACCATAAGCTCAAACCTACCTTCATACAATGTATGATCACATATTCAGTAAAGCAGGGCTCTGCTTGGTGTCAGAATGCAGGTACCATAGTCCACATGACAGAACTATGTGGGCTAGCCCCAGCCAGAGAAGACCTCTTCACTCTGTAACTGTGACCTGGGCTTGGAGGTAGCATGGCTAGGAAGAGGGCTTTGAGACTCTGCCCACAGGGCTGGGCAGCTAGGCTGCTGATACACACACCAGGCATAAGCTTGGGACAGGTCTCTTTGATGAATGAATCAAAGGGGTGAGTCTAGCCCTGCCTTTCTTCAAGGCTGAGCCTATGTTAGCACTCAAATGTGTCATGATTCAAGTCAGGATATGCTTGTGATGCTAATTCCAAACCAGGCTACGGATTGCTATTCACATTCTTGATAAAATATTAACAGTCTTCTTAGGGGAATATATTTCAGTGTGAGTTTGTAGAGGGATGCATGTATGGGGGGAGACAGTACATATGTGCACCTATGCATGTGGAGGCCAGAGGTCAACTTCAGGTGTCATCCTCAGGACTTACCCACCTTGCTCTTTTAGACAATCTCACTGGAACTTGACTGACTAGCCTAGCTGGCCGGTGTGCTGCAAGGGATCCATTATCTCCAGCTCCCCAGTGCTGGGACTACAAGGATAGAACACCACACCAAGCTTTCCTGTATGATTTAAAAAACAAAAACTGGGGCTGGAGAGATGGCTCAGCACTTAAGAGCACTGACTGCTCTTACAGAGGGCCAGGGTTCAATTCCCAGCACCCACATGGCAGCTACAAACCATCCTTATCTCCAGTTCCAGGGGAATCCTGAAGCCCTCTTCTGACCTCTGCAGCATTGCATGACACGGGTGCACTCACATGTGGGCAATACACTCATACACATAAAATAAAAATAATAAAATAAAGCCGGGTGTGGTGGCACATGCCTTTAGTCCCAGCACTCGGGAGGCAGAGGCAAGTGGATCTCTGTGAGTTCAAGGCCAGCCTGGTCTACATAGTGAGTTCCAGGACAGCTGGGGCTACAGGGAGATAATTTTAAAAATAAATTAATTATTAAAATAAATAAAAAACAAAAACTCTGTCTTACTCCATCCCATGCTACAACCTGGGATAAGGGATAAGGGCAGTGAGAGACAAGAGGCCAGCCTCTAACTTCAGTTCCATCCAGACACTAGGCAGTTCCTGACCATCCCAAACCCATCCCAAAGGTCTCAGTATTCTCCTCTAGAACCTGGTCCCCTAAAACCACCAGGGTGCTTTGTGATGGGAAATAGCAGAGACCAAACCAAGGGACTGAAAGCAAAAAGAAACCCCAAATTTGACATTTCCAGGTAGTTGTGTTATCCGGAGTCACAACCACAGTCACCTCTGCCCCGAGCCCAACTCTGACATCCTACGGTTCTCCACTCCCATCTTGGGAAAGTTGTAGAGTTCTTCCCTGTAGCCCCTGCCCACTACCTCTCATTGAGATAACAGAAGCATAGAGAAAGGCAGAGCCAAGCAGAAAACCAGACAGACCTAGAGAGGGGGACAATCAAAGAGAGAGTAGGAAGTGATGCATGGAAAGACACAAGATGGTCTGGCAAGATGGCTCAGCGTAAATTTAGGCGCTCACCGCACAGCCTGAGCCATCTCTCCAGCCCCCAAAAGATAACTTTTTTTTTTTTTTTTGGACTTTTTGAAACAGGGTCTCCCTGTAGCCCCAGCTGTCCTGGAACTCAGTATGTAGACCAGGCTGGCCTTCAACTCACTGAGATCTGCCTGCCTCTGCCTCCCAAGTGCTGTGATAAAAGGCGTGCGCCACCATGCCCAGCAAAAGAAAACATTTTTAAAGATAAGTATTAAGAGGCTCAGAAAGACCCAGTGAAGAGAGAGGACCAGAGGCCAGCCAGGGAGCCACCTCTGGACACAGTTTAAATTTGTGGGCATGGCAGGGCTCTGCAGACTCATCTGCTCCCTTTCAGGTGTGCTTTTCCAGGTCTGTTCTGTGGCATCTCAATGCTTTTTAGGACACAGGCTCTACCCACCCTCCAGGCAAGCCAAGCCCAACCCAACCAGATGTTTGGTGGGTGGGGCTGCCAGCTGGAGTGGCAGGCTTCTGCAGGCCCTAGGGGAGGAGTCTGGAGAGGCCAATGCTTGGAAGTGGGCAGGCAGCTTCATACTACCCCTCCCAAATGTCCGGGTGGAGGGCATGACTAAGGTGATCCTCTGCCTTCAGATGGGGCTCAGAGAACATGTGACTTCTAAGGAATCTGCTCCCATCACTGAGTTCACATTTGCCTGCAGAGAAAGGCTGTTGAGCACATGTGCCAAGTGGGATCTACCGGCGATAGGGCAATGGGTTTAGATTTGCTATTGACAGGCTTGGAGACTCTGACCAAGTCACTTCTCCGTGACATTTTGTGTTCCCATTGGTAAAATCACATTCATGGTCACTTCCAACTCTGCTCCTGGATACTCAATCCTGAGGTGAGGGATGGGGGATTTCCTGCTTGAGGGTCTGACCCTCCTCTGCCCTTCCATTGTACAGTGAAGGAAGAAGAGAGCAAAAAGAGCTGATACTCCCTCCCTCAGAGCCTGCACCCCTCCCTGCTCTGTCCCTGCAGAGTATCTGGAAAGAAAGACTCCCCCAAAGTCCTCCTCCTTGCACCCCCTACAGTTTTCAATTCCTTTCTTCATGATCCTGCCAACTAAAGTCACTGTGACCACACACAGAGGGTGGGGAGAACCCAGACATTTTAACTTCTGCAGAAAAATTTTGGTTTTTTGTTCTTTTTTCCCCCCCTCTCTGAAGTAAAAAGAATGAAACTGAGGAGATAGCGAGGGCCAGAAAGAGGGGCAGGAGCAAGGAGTGGAGAGAAAAGGGAAGATCCAAGAAGGAATTGGAGAGAGAGGAAGCCTATGAGAATCATCACCCCAGGCCACTGGGTCTTGGCCCAACTGGGCTGTGAGTAGACAGCCAGGCTGGCCCCTCCTTTGGTACTGCCCATGCCAGCTGCTAGGCAGAGAGGAGGCCCAGAGGAGAGGGAAGCTGTGCAAAGGGAATGGCAACCTTCCAGGCTGGCCTTGTCCAACCCTTGGGCCTTGAAGGGAACCCTTAGGGATGGGGACTGTGACCCAGGCAGGGCTCCAGGGAGCAGGTTTACTGCTGTGACAAAGCCTATAGGCAGATGTGAGATTGAGAAGCTCAAAGTAGCCCTTCCTGGGACTTTTTTGAAGGTAGGACAAGCCTCAGATATCACTCCTCTGGGTAAATAGAAGGACAGGATAGTTTATGGGTCACAGTCTGCTGACCAGGACATGATGTGACCACACTGGGCAGGCCCCTTCCTTTCTCTGAACTGACATTTCTTACCTGCAAATGTTGGAAGGGGGGTGGAGAGTTGAAACATGGTACCAAGGTCTTGGTTCTGCTTCAAGGGGAAGTTCAGACAGTAGGAGTAACCCAAGGAGGGGGTGGTAGTGGTGGCAGGAAGATAGTCCTGGTGGGCTTGGCTTCCCTGGAATCCCGAGGTCCATCTCTAAGCTTTGATTCTGTGGTCACAAAAGCTGTGCCCCTTCCCACCCATCCCCACTCCC